TCTGGGCCCTCTACATATGTCCTTAATACATGCAAGTGTAAGTTCCACGAGGGCAGGTAATTTCATCTGTTTTCTTAATTTCTGTATCTCCAAAGGCTAGAATTGTTCCTAGCACACAGTAGGTTCTCAGTAAATATTTGTTGAATGAATGATTGAACCCTTTACAAATATTACTGCCTGGGTGAAGATTTTCATTTTTTCCCAGGCATGGTTTCTTTCTCTTCCATTATCCTGTGATACTTAATACATTCTTCAGTTATAACATTCATCACATTTTATTTTTATGGAAAACATATTTAAAGCTCTTAAATTTAACCAGATGGTATAATTCAAAAGCACATTTTTATTTAATAGATTGAAACCCCACACTGCATATTTGATCGAATGATTACAGAAACGTTTTAAAGTTGCATTCTCATCCTGTTCTGTGAGTTATTCCACAAAACTATCCAACCTTGAGAAAAATTTTTAAAAAGTAAATCGGAAAATAAGATTTCTATGTTGTAATTTGTGTTATGTAATGGCATGTTCTGTGTTTTGACATTAAGGAAACCTTGCTATTTTACTAGCAAATGGGAGGCTTGCAAAATTCTGTCTTATGAACATATCAGCATAGCTATAAATGTGGTTGATTAATACCCTGCAAGGATAAATAATTGCTAACGTTCATCCTGAAGGAGCACACCTGTTTAGGTCGGCTTGGAAGAGGGCATTCTTAATCAAGGGGGAAACATTCAGCAGTTTTTCTTAAATAGAATGCTATTACTAAAAGTCAGGAGGCACAAACATACCATAAAATTCTCATCAACTCTAAAGGAAGAAACAATCTTCTATGCCTTAAGGTTAAAGTAGTAGCAAACAAGAAACGCTCTCAAATACATTCCTATGCCATTGATGTGATTTCAGGGCCGGTGCTGGCTGGCCAACCGTGCATTTTTCCAGTGCTATCATTTTGGGTGTGGAGCGTAGTTTAAGCCATTGATTGATAACCTGCCCCACCATTCTCTACTGGAATATGTCCCAGGACATATACATGGGAGACATTGCCTGTCCCCAGAAAGCAGTGGCTGCTGAGCAGAATGTTTGGTCTGCATTCAGAAGGGATAACAATCTCAGAAAGCTCCCATCTAAGGTGGTATGACAGCTGTGAATGCCTCTGACAGCAGCGATTATCAGCTTCAGTAAGCATGTGTTAACCTGGAAAAGGCACTCATGATGAGTAGGTGCTTCTGGGATGGAATTGGGATTAACATCCCTTTCTGGCTAATGATTTCATATCTTCTCTGCTGTTGTATTCTGGGTTTCTCAAATCCAAGGCAGTGCAAAATCCCTGTTCTCAATGAACCTCACATGTTTGAGAAGTAGAGAGATGATTTCTGCCAATATGCAATTATCAGTGTATACTGGCCTAAGCCTCCAGAGAAATGGGATTGTGTTATAACCAAGGAACTCTGGAAATTAAAATCTGGGTTGGTGCCAGTTCGTCCTTGATTGGGCCTGAAGCTGGGACTGCACGGCTTTTTTTTTGCTTGTTGCTCTCGTGAAGGTGGCTCTGTGCTTTCTGGGTCTGCTTAGTAATCCTACTCTCCAGGCTTGCATTTTAAACATTTGTTTGATCTTTGTTTTCTGGGGGGAGGTGTCTTGACCACACTGAAATGGAGCGCCTGTTTAGGATCCAGTCGTTGGTGCCTAACAGGTGCTCTTTAACATTCTTGCCCCTCAGTATTGCTGGGAGCTTTTTAGTGCAAATACGGTTGGTGCTAGTTAGTTGCTGACACTATATGTATCACCCTTGCTTTATTATCTCCTCTTCCCTTCAAACTCTTTGTTGGGCCAGAATATTAGTGACTTTGTAAAAAATTTCAGCTTTTCCTACTTCTTCAAGATTTCTTTATTTTCTTCCATAATCACTGGTAGGTCTGATATGAAATCCAACCTCTTAAAAATATCTTTGAGAGCACTTTTTAAAATCTACAACACTTCTCTGCCTTATCTGAGTCAACCTTGCTGTGACTCTTGGCCCTAGAAACTTCTTTCTCTCTGACATGTGTTTTTCCCCTATCCCTTCTTGTGATTTGCCCTAGCAGGCAAAGCTCTTTGCAGTCTCTCTGCAGGTGCCCCTTTTATCCCTCAGCTTTTGAAGACTCACATGTCAGGCCTTCTCTTTCTCCCTGAGTGAGGGCATCAACACCCACAGCATCGGTTATCACCTGTGAGGTAATTTCCTCCAAAGCCTACATATCTGGAAGTCAAACACGTAAGTTCAAAGACCTATATATTCCCTATTCAGCCTTGTAGATGTCCTTCCCTTGCCCTGGCCCCTCTACCGTACCAAGTCCCTGACGTCAGCATTTACTGTGATGGGGCTGCACCTTGTTTGGGGAGGGGTGTGGTGGGAAGACACTCTGAGTCAGTCTTTTCCCAGAGTCCCAAGTGGGCAATGAAGCAGAAGATGGTCCCATGGGCTGAGAACAGAGCTGAAAACTTCTAATGTCTCCCTTTGGGAACATGGAGATGGAAGATAGTGTGTTTTCCTACTTTCACCCACTACTTCCTACACTCAGCTGGGGTTGGAAAGAGTGGACTCTCCCCTCTTCCTGCCTTTTCTGCACTGTCACCTTATCCTAGCATCCTCTTTCTCTAAGTGGAATTTGCCCTCCCCTTCTCTGTAGGGCTAAACAGGAGAATGCCTGTCAGGTAACCTGATTTATGGGAAGATGAATGAAAACAGATCTGTTTACTATTTTCAAATTATTACCCCTGTTACCTTGCATCTCAGAGGGTAATCACAGGTCTCTGGAACTCCCTGGGCCCCTTTATAGTAACATGGCACACAGCAGTTGTAGAGGAAGATTTACAAGGGCTCTCAGACACCTCCTTCACCTGACTCGCTGCCCCCCCTTCTTTTTTAGTGCATCAACCCACATTTTTGGCCATAGTTCTCCACTTCATGAGCAGCATAGAATACTCCTAAGTGGGAGTATTCTCTCCACAAAACTAGTTGGTATAATCACTGAGTTATACATTCAAATTCTGACAGATTTAGTTCCCATGATAACACCAGTTATGTGTAAAATATTAGTTAGATATAGGATCATGGAAAAAGTAAGCTGTACTGAAGAAACCCAAATGAGAGGGCATACTCTGAAAACATTAAATATTTATTTATAGACTGCCTTTCAGCTTTATACTGCCCCCAAAGAAAGGGGAAGCTTTTGTGAAAAGGAACCAATCAGTAAGGAAATTGACAACAGTAGGTCCAGTGACAAAAATAGTAAGAGGAAGCCTGGATCTTTGTAGAAATGATTACAGTCTCAGGCCCTTTTAGCTCGCTGTGCAGGGTGAGGCTTGGCGTGTGTCGCTTGTACTTAGATAAATTTGTGTACCTTGTTAAGTCTTAGGTTGGAATTGGAGCCTTCTTGTATGAGAAAAAATTCTCATGTAAACTGAAATATGGATGAAGAAATTAACTTGTGTACTGTGAATTCACTGGAGAAGCAGAGAATAAAATTATTAAAATATAACCCAAAAAGAGAATATAAAATAGGGAAAAAAATCCCCTGTTTGAGAGTATCATTACCATCTGGGTTATAAACCATTTGATTCTAATTCTAGAATCTTGATGCCTGAAATAACTTATTGCTGGGGACATATGCTGGAGAACTGTCAAGAATGACAAAGTTTTTACTTGTTTTTAGTATCTGTATCACAAAATGATAAAGCTGATAAGCCATATAATGATGTGAAGGCATGAGCCATATAGCCTAGTACTTTATACCGTGTATTACATCCCAATTATTTTTCCCTTCCCACCCCACGAAAGGTCAGAGGCCACTTTCGAGAAGCAGAGAACCCTTCAAAGCTCTTCTCTCTGGAGGAAAACACTGCACACGCCTGAGGTCTGTGCAGAAGTTATGATCTAACCCACAGACTGCACAGAACTAACACTTCGACTACTCACAGCCGTCTCCTCACAGTGGGCGTGTTGCGTGTACGTTCCTAGTGTGTTTGGTTCTTGATGTATTTTTATGGACTCAAGTTATAGATCACACTATCCAGTCGTATTGATGAATGAGTATCATATTGAGGTTTCCCTCCACCTCTTCCTAGCTGTGACCTTGAGCAAATTAATCTCACTAATCTTTAAAATGGGGATAAAAGTAGTACCTGTTTCATTGCCAGTGCACTTGAAAACTGCATCACAGTTTGAATGTTGAGAGCTAAATTGGTGTTCACTTAATTCAAATGAAAATTAAATGACAAGGAGTTAATTGTATCAAGAATCGGTGTAAGAATTTGAATTGGGAGGTCCTGCGTAACCATGGTATTCTAAAATGGTGTCTATCTTAAAAAAACAAAACAAAACTCTTCGGGGACTCTCTTGTGCACAAAATCTCCTAATTTGCAGCCTTTAATCTTCACATTAGTAGAGGCTACCTTGATTAGAGGAAGTACAGCTTCCTCTTGTTTTCAGGTTATGGGCTTCTTTTGGGGACGAGGCTGCTGCTTTTTGGAGAACGGGGGAGGAAGCTGGCAATTTAACCCCTTAGTCTAACACACTTTCTAAACGCGAGCCAGCAGGTCTTTTTTTTTTTTTTCAGAAACCAGACCGAGTTCAATTTAATGCAGTAATAACTGGGTGTGGAAGGAGTTAAAGCTTCCTCTACCCCGGCGTGAAGGTTCTTTTGTGTGCACAGCTGCAGTTGGGGCGCGGGTCGGAAAGGAAACGGCTAGAGGAAGGGCTGGTTTCAGAGCCCGCCAGTCTGCGAGGGGCCCGGGGCAGCCGGTTTTGCGCGCAGAGGTCGGCCCGCCAGCCGGCCCACGGCCGCCGCTGCGCCGAGGGCCAAGGTGCCGAGTCAGCGGGTTGCCGTGGCGACGGGCCGGCCACGTGACCAGGGCCCGCTACCGGCGCTGCGACGTCAGCGGTCGGGGAGCGGGCCGCCGAGAACGCGCGGGCGGGCGGCACCCTCGGTCTGTGGGGAGCGCGCGGGGCGCCGGGCGCGCGCGGGGGGGGCAGCTGCCTCGGTCTGAGGAGCGGGTGGGGCGCTGGGAGCGCGCGCGGGCGGCTGGCTCTGTCTGTGTAAGGAGCGCGCGGGCGGCAGGCTCGGTCTGTGCGAGGAGCAGGCGTGTGAGGAGCAGGCTGAGGCTCGGTCGGTGCGAGGAGCGGGCGAGCGGGACGGCGAGGCGCAGCCCTTCCTCCCCAGCCAGCCCACCGCGGTCTGTTCCCGGCCTCGCGAGTGCGCCAATGCCCGGTCCGACCCAAACGCTGTCCCCAAATGGCGAGAACAACAACGACATCATCCAGGACAACGGGACCATCATCCCCTTCCGGAAGCACACGGTGCGCGGCGAGCGCTCCTACAGGTAACGGGGCCTCGGCGGGCGCGGGCGGGGCCCGGCCCGGATGTACCGGCGGCCCCGGCGGGCCGACCGCTGTCCCCGAGCGCGCGTGCGGCTCGTACCGAGGCTTGGCGCCCGCGGGCGGGAACACTGCGCGGGGCTGCTGCCTGCGGGCCTCCCTGCGTCTACGCTCCGCGCGGCTCCCGCCCGGGGGCGGTGGCTGCGGGGCGCGGGGCCGCGGTCGGTGGTGCCCGAGGCCGGCGGCTGCGGGGGGCGGAGCGCAGGCCGGGCGCCCCGAAACATGCGGCGGGCCTGCCTCGGGGCGCGGACCGCGGCACCGCACGACCCCTTCTCGGGGCTGGACCCCCGGGACTCGCCTTCGGCGCCCACCGCGGGAAGGTCGTGCTGGGCGGAGGGGCCGTTGTGTGGCCCGAGCGCTGGATGACTGAGTCGGCCTGCGCGGTCGGCCTGCTTTGACATTAGCGTCTCTTACAGTTCGTCCCGGTAGATTAGCTCATTAAAACTGTCCGCGTTGTGCGGTGAGGATGACAGCGTACTGGAGACCGCGGCCGTCCGCTGCAGCCCAGGGCCGTGCTGGAAGGGGGCTGAGCGTCGACCCAGGGCCGCGGGAGCGCCGCCGCAGCGCCGTGGTTATTTTTAAACGTTACCTTGAGGACTGACAATGCTGGTGCGCTGAGGCCGAGCACACATCCCAGGGCGCACCCTCCCAGCTCTTGAGCAACAGGAAATAAGTCTTGTCTGGTGCCCTCCACTAAACATGCAGATGGTGCTGTGGGCAGAATAGTCTGTGCCTGTAAATGCAGCATCTTTATAAGGTAGGGCCCCACACCCCACCTCCTCTCCTGATGGAAGAAACACTATTCGCTGACTGCAAGAAAGACTAGAAGCGACCTTCGCGGTCATGTCCAGCAGTTATATAAACACCTTAATTTATGTATTTATATAAATGCTTGGCGTTAATTTCGGCTGTGCCCATGAGGTCACCAAAATCTCATGCCCGCTAGTTTCAACTGTGTGTTGACATGGCATCTGTACAGGCGCTGAGTGCTTATTTTCATACGAGCCAAAATGGCCCACAGCTTCTGAGACCTCTGTGATTGGTAAATTGAGTCTCTTCCCTCCCTAACTCTTCCACCTTTCTCCGTGAACATTCCAAATCCTAAGTAGAATTTAAAAATAAAAACAAATCCCTGAATTGGTTTTAAACATCATTTAAAGTATTGATAGTAATATATTTTGAAACCCTCATTTCTTAAATGATATGATCTCTGCTCTGTAGACAGCCGTTGCTTTTCAGATGGCCTTCGAATTTTACCACATGGGCTGAAGGAAGTTGCCTTACTTGGGTTTTATTAGTCACATGAACTAAGTTGAAATGACAATGGAAAATCACTTGTTAGAAAAGTTAAAATATTACTTCTTGATGATAAATTATTGCTTTAAAGTAAAATTGTATTTACCTTTTTAATTCAGTACAAGTTATTGTTTCCATTTCCTGAATTATTTCCAGTTTGCTTTCAGTTCTCTATAGTGGTACCTGAAATTACATGAAAAACCTGAATTTGAATGAAGATCTGACTGAACAAATTCTTGAGTCACTAAGAACACCATTGCATACGTATTTCATCTAATAGGATACTAGACACTGCAGTGAGAGATGTCAGAGGTTAAATGAAGAAGGAAGCCTCCAGAGTTGCACTTGTGTTGTATCACACAGAAGTGCACGTGGAGGTAGAAACACTTGATGTTTCTCTGGGTCTGCTTTTCTTCCAAAGTGAATGACCAAGGTAGTATAACTACCACTTAATTTTTTGGAGGGGTGTAGAGGAAGGAAAAATGTGGCACATTTTTCTATCCAGGAAGTGTTCCATAATAATTTTGGCATCCTGAGGCTGGAATAATATTGCCATTTAATTGCTGAGGAAACTTGGAAAGCACTTTGAAAACCAGAGTAGAGATTTAACCAGGTAAGTTTTATTTGGCTATAGGTTTAGGATATCCCTGAAAAATGAGGTGTCTGAGAGTTCTGTTGGGAGTCTGGTGGAAGGCCTGGCTAAGCCCTCTGGGCTGATCAGAGAGAAGTCCTCCTGGTCCCTTTACTGACTTGTAGGTGAGCCTTCAGCAGGGCCTTTATTTTTGGCTTTATTTTCTACATTTGCTCATTACATAAGCGGGTATCTCATTGCATTCTTACAAAGTTTTTGTGAGGTTAACTTCAAACAGTTAAAACAAAAATGTTCTTAAAAGAGCTGTGTAAATATAAGAAGAATGCTGTTGTTACTGAAAGGGGACTTGAGGACAAGAACACCCCTCACCTGGCTGGGAGCACAGGTGAGAGGAGGAGAGGACATCTAGAGAACAAGACACTGCTTTCCAGCACTCTGGGTGGGCCAGTGGTCTCTCATCCCTAGCAGGAACCATTACTGTCATAATGTTGCACCAGATTTTTTACAAATAAGGGTCAAATACGGTTCATGTCCCAGATATCTTAACCCAAGTATCTCTTAGTGTAAACAGAGCCCATTTTTACAGCCTAGACTGGAGTGGGTGGTAAATCATTATTGAAACCTGTGTGTACTTGATTAGAAGAGCAAGTTTCTTTTAGAAAATTACCCCTCCATTAGTAATTTCAGTTGAAAAGAGCAAGTGCAGAAATGGCTCAGCAAAGCTAGATGGATGTGTTTCCATAGATCGAGTCCACTACTGCGTGAATGCGTCTCCTCAGCCCCAGCTTCCTCAGTGAATTTATGAGCACTAGAAATCCGTCTATTTTAAGAGCTGCTTAAGAAATAAATGTGTGGTGGGCCATCTGAGGCGACACTGTCTAATTCGCAAGCTAGCGAGTAGTGCTCTGGCTCTCACTGGGGAGGCTTCTCCCTGTAGCTCTGTTTCATGCAGATGATGGTAGGAAATGAGATGTATTGCCTGGCCTTCTGCCCCCCACATCTTTGTTTCCATACTCCAGTCTTTTAAGAATGAATGTGTAAGTCCAGGTGACTATTTCCACATGATGCTTGAGTACACAACTACAGTAGCATATGTCTCTGAATACTTAAGAAAAAGTATTGGCCTCAGGAAATGGACTGTAAAGAAAGGCAAAACTAAAATTTAAGTCTAAAATATTGGCTCTGACATCCAACTCTGCCAATTTTGAAAAATGAACTCTAGTTAAGAAAAATAAAGAGATAGCACATGTGCATATAAAGAAAGAGCTGTGCAAGTGCATTCCATTTAATAGAACCTATTGTAACATGGTTCACTTTTACAAGAATGTAGATTTCAGATCCTGCTCCCCAAAACGGCAGCTGAGACCTGTATAGTCTAGCTTCACTTGTCCATTATGTATGTATTAGTATCATCTGGGTTTGCTGCTGTCATTGGAGATTTTCGAAAATAGTGGTTTCTGTACTTAGTATTTGTCCTATTCTTTGTAAAAAAATCAAAGGATTGATGCTTGCCCAGTTTTTAACTTTTCAGGGTCCTTTGTCAAAGCTTCTGTTAAGCAGATACTCTCCTGTGTCATCCTTGGCAAGAGGCTCTGCCCAAGGCAGCAGTGATTGTGTTTGCCCTGCATTGTCTTCCCAGAACGATGGTTCGAAGTGTTCTTCTGAGCTCAGGAGGTTGAGTTCCATAAGCAGTATCTTTTCTGTATTTGTAGGGACCTCTTGAAGCTACAGTGAATAATCCCGTAGACTAATGGAGGGGAAAATATTTGGACTAATCTAAATAGTACATTTGGTTTGGAGAATTAATTTGACAAATATTTGAGAGTCTACTCTGGCCAAGGTCAGTGCTAGATGCCCTTCAAGGACCTTGAGTCAAAGTCAGATGTGGAAGTAGCTCAATTTGTAGCAGATTACCTAGTTCTTGAGTATTAGGCTCCACTTCATAGCTGAAGTGGTTTGCATTTCCTGAGCCCACAGTGACTCAAAGTAGGAAAAGATATCCTCAAGGCCAGTATGCTATAGAAAGCTAAACCTCACTGTGGGACGCCAGAAATTTTGGTGAGAAGAGTATAGGCTTTAGAATCAGAATTTTCATTGGCCTGACAAAGTGCCTCTTGGACAGTAGTGGAAAATAAGGCAGAAACATTCAAAGGTAGGCAGGATAGTCAGTACTTGAAAATGGAAAGCTATTGAAAGCTCATTAATTGAAAAACAGCTCATAATGAAAACAGAGGTGCCTGCTGGAATTGATTTCCTGGTTTGAAATGAGAGTTTTGGAAAATGGAGTCCTCCATTGCCCCACCCTGCATAATTCAGAATTACTAGAGAATACTTAATTCACACACTGAGAGACCTCTCAGCCCTGATCTAGGGACCAGGACAGTGTAGGTGGATGTTCCTGGCTCAACTCATCTTTCCCTGAGTAGAAGTAATCAGTGCAGCTTCACTCATAACAGGACTGGCACTTCGGTCAGACAGTGGCTTCTGTGCTTGCAAAAGCCCACTTAATAATTAGCAGTCTACCTTCAAGGGTGGCTAGTGTATGGAGGTTGCCCTTTTCTAATCCTACGAAACTCAGAAGCAGTGTATCTGGTACTTTCTTGTGAAGGATCCACCTGAGTCATTTACTGCCATAAAATGACATGTAGACTTGACTCTGAAACTGCTCACAACTCTCCGTATGGTTCCAGTGCCAATTTCTCTTACAGCTAGAAGACAACCTCCCTGATGGAAGGCTCTGGAGTGGACTGAGTTTAACCTGGATTATGTGGATTTGTTTACTTTTGAACTTTATCAGTTTCACTTTTAAGGAAAAATTGATTTATTCTTCTGCTGTGAAAAGTATCTTTTTCCATAATGAAATATGTTAGAATATATAAGTCAGAATAGTTTCATTCTTCCTGACCTGGGCTACCATGCACTTATCAGATATGTCATAATCAGCTAGTATCTTAAGCATTATTCCAGCCCCCCTTATGACACTCCACCACACATCTTGTAGGTATCAGATAAACCTTGTTTCTTAGTTCATTTAAAAACTCTTGACAGTTTTATCTTGGTGTTTTTGACCTTTGGCATTTATATTTTATTTATATTATTTAAAAATGCAAACCTATGGTTCACATAGGCAAAAACTGCAGTTAACAATTTTACCATATAGCATGAATCAAAGAAATTTCTCCTAAATATGTTTGTTAATTGCATCTCCATACATGATTTTGATGAAAGTAGATCATTAGGTAAAGATTAAACAGTTTTATGGCCATCAAGAAATAATTTCTTAGTAGTTCCCCCCCAAAAAAAGAAAACTGTGTTTTAGTGTCAAATCTCTCTTGACTAATTAGAAGTTTACTCACTTGAACCAGGACAAACTCTCTTACTTAAAGCACTATTTTGTTTTTTCTATAGGCACAGAAAAGTAGTGATACATATGTAGAATGGTCACTTAGGTGGCTGCTTTTACTGATGGTGCCCTTTTGTGTAGTTGATCTAGTAAAGAAAATATGGCTAGGGTTCAGTCTTTCTGTATTTGTAGATCTCATTTGGTTCAGGCAGGCTAAGAGTTCCAAGAGAACCAGATTTTGGCCATGATTTGGAGCAGAAGAGGAATAGGGGAGGAGATTTGAGAGGGAAAGCACACATTATGCACACATAGGGTGCTTGGTGGAAGGCTGTAAAATTTGGGATTTTGTCTACAGAATTGGTCCTGAAGTTCATGGCTAGTGTTTACTCTTTCATAAGCCTGAAATGACAGTGCTCTTCCTTAGATTTCTGTGATCCCGTCTTTTCCTAGAAATAGTGTTTGTTTTGTTTTGCTTTAAAGGCATTAATTCTTTGCCCTTTATTTAGTGCAAGCCTACAGGCAAAGCCCTGAGAGGTAAAAAATGCCAGAGGTATTGACATCTCAGGGAGGTTTTGAGTGTTGAGAGTTTTACTCTGATTATGAACAGTGGTACCCTTCATTTAAGAGATGCCTGTGATTCCTGGCAAGATTTGCATTTGTTGGTCAGGAAATCAGGAGAAAGTGAAGCTATGAAAATGGGCTTCTCCCCCAACTACATACTTCCTTTTTTTCATTTTAGAATGCCAAAACTTATTTTCAGGTTGCTAATAATATAACTTTTAAAATTCCCATTCTTGGATTTTACACAACTATTTTTATATTAATTAAGATAGAAGCCAAAATTCCCTCCGTCACTTAAGAATCTGTTCTCTCATCAAGCTTAGTTCATTTATTTACCAACTCTTTGCTCTGGGCCCTGGGACTACACAGTAAATAATGCACAGCCTCTCCTTGAAAAGCCTCTAGTATCAGGGACAACTGGCTGGGAGGTAGTGCTTGGTGGGAGGCATGCGAAATGGAGAGGTGCCCTCACCTGACCTGACTCCAGTGAAGTACTTTTGTAATATTGTGTAAATACCTGGCAGAGGCAAAATTCCTACTATACTGCAGTTTTCAAAAGCTTTCATAAATGGAGCAGCATGTAATCAAAACTGAAGTGTGTCCTACCAGGATACCTCTGTGTGTGAGTTTCAACACAGCCTTGTGTTTCCCCAATTTTTTTTTTTTGGTATCATTAATCTACAATTACATGAGGAACATTATGTTTACTAGACTCCCCTCATCACCAAGTTCCCCCCACATACCCCATTGCAGTCACTGTCCATCAGCATAGTAAGATGCTGTAGAATCACTACTTGTCTTCTCTGTGTTGTACAGCCCTCCCTGTGCTCCCCCCACCCATTTTACCTGCTAATCGTAAGGCCCGCTTTCTTCCCCCCTGCTTATCCCTCCCTTCCCACCCATCCTCCCCAGTCCCTTTCCCTTTGGTAACTGTCCATTCTTGGGTTCTGTGTTCCCCAAATTTTTATATTGGTATTGACCATCACTAGGTTAAAAAACAGTACACAGTACACTAACTTTTACATAAAAAGTGAGGAAAATGAGAACATGCACACATTTGTACATGGAGGAACTGAAAGGATATAAACTAATAATAATGGTGGGAACAGGATAGATAAGTTCCTGTGTATTTTTTTATGTTTTAAAAAAATTGGAACTGTGTAAGTGCATTACCTAATCAATCAGTGATGTTTCATTTAACATTTTAATAGCATGGATTTTTTAATTAAACGAGTTTTAATTTTAATGATGAGTTTTATTTGCCAAAGTATGTTGGCATCTGAAAATATTCACGGACTCCTTGAAGTCACATGAATGATATTAAGGTTTGCCTAATACCACTCTTACATTAAAACAGCATCACAAATCACAAATAAAATGTGCTCCTACAGTGCCTGCCCCTTGACTTTCATGCGTAGCATCCATAATCCATACTTTGTTTCATTTCATTCAGACACATTGAAGCTGCCTCCTCTGCTGTTGTTTTTGCGATGTTTCAGCCTGCTTAGTATCCTCTATGAATCTCACTAACTGCAAATTAGTCCTGTGTGAGGAGTCCTTGATACCCTCTTTGAATTTGTGTTTTTTTCCTTCCTTATCCAGCATGGGTACTGTGTGGGGCACTAAAACTGTGAGATCACAGTGATTGCCATTTGTGAGCCACTCAGCTGCATCCTCTGGCCTCCCCCAGCTCTTAGTCTAACCTCACACCTTCTGGAAGTTATTGAGCAGTACCTGGCCTTAGTGTGACCCCTGCAATAATGTGTCACTGGCCAGGAAACAAGCCATCTGCATTCCCCATACCATACCTCCCTGCTCCAGCCTCCTCTCCCACTAGTTTGGTTGCAGGCAGAGTGAATCCCCATGGAGCCTGACCACTTAAAGATAAACAAAATGAGAGCTTTGAATGTATTATCCCAGCCATAGGGACCTGCTTACCATCAATAACCATGAAATAGAAAGCTCTGATAGCTTGTGAGCTGAACGTCTGTGCTGGCAAGGGAGGAAGTGTAAGTGGGGGTAGTACACAGGTGCAAGGTGAAGGCTCCTTGGGGTGGATGTGCTAGCCCCTCTCTCCTTGCCCCTGCCTCCCACTCTTCGGGTTTCTGGGGGCAAAGTATGTCTGCCCTGTAACATTTATTCTCCAGGGGGAAAGAGGAAGAGATGAGAACGATCAGTGCCTAGGCAGGGAGCTGACGGCAGAGGGAATGGGGACCTGTAAGTCTTGTCCAAAATCCCCTTAGTGGAGCTAGCAACGTACAGTAAATTAAGAAGCCTGTTTGGTGTTTCGGAAGCCAGTTTTTCCCTCCCTGGAATTTCTGACAGGTAGATAGCATTGTCGTAACCCCAACTCTAAGGAGTCAGCACGAGTAACAGTGAACATCCAGCCTGTGTGATAAGTGTCTCTCTGCTACTTTAACCCAGTTCAGAACTTGGTCTGATCTGAGAAGAGGGCCCCTGCCATCCAGCACTTCCATTCCCACCCCACATTAAGACCAGTTGGTGTTCTCAAAGCCCTGGATTGCTCCTTGGAGAAGCAGTGAGGTATAGTGGGCAAAGCTCAGGCTCTGGTATGAGACTTATTTTCTGTTCCAGCTCCATCCCTTTCTAACTGTAATTTAGGGCATATTTTTTTAGCCTCTCAGCCTCATTTTCCTAATACATGAATAGAAATAATAGCATCAACTTAAAAGTTCTTAATAAGGATTTAAATGAAATATGGAGTATGAAATATACCAAGCAGTGATTGGTATGAAGTGAATGCCTTTAAAAATATTAGCTTGTAATTGTTGTTTGGCATTTCAGTCTGCCCTTTTACCTTGTCTTTACAATAATCTATGGTCTTTGCGTCTCAGTACATGGTACAGTCCCTGGCACATAGCAGATGTTCATTAGAAGTCCATATTGAATCTGCAAAATAATTTTAAAAAATTACACTGTAGTCTTTTCTCCCTTCTTGATTTTATTTAAGAATTTACATACAGTAGACTGCATCCAATTAAAGTGTATGATTCAGTGAGTTTCAGCAGTGTACACATCGTTGAAGCCATCACTTTCAAGAGATTCCTGGTACCCTTTGCAATTCAGGTAACCCCGGAAACCGCTGCTGTGCTTTCTGTCACCAGAGGTCAGATTACATTTGAATGGAATCCTACAGATTGTGTTCCCTTGGACTTGACTTTTTTTACTCAGCATAATGATTTTTATTGCTGAATAGTAGTCCATTGTATGGCTAAACTATATTTTATCATTTACCAGCTGATGAACATTTAGGTTGTTTCCAATCCCTAGCAACTTGTATGAATAATAAAACTTGTATGAAGATTCATGTACAAGTCTTTGTGGGAATGTATGTTTTCATTTCTCTGGGATAAATCCTGGGTCATATAGTTAGTTGGTGCTTGTTTAAGAAACTTAAGAAACTGCAAATAATTGTCCAAAGTGGTTGCACCATTTTACACTCCTGCCAGCAGGATATGAGAATTCCATTGTTTCACATCCTTGACAATACTTGGTATTGTCAATCTTTTAAGTTTTTGCAATCCATAAGAAATCTCACTGAGATTTAATTTATATTTTCCTGATGATTAATGATGTTGCGTATCTTTTGATGTATTTACTGGCCTTTTGTGTATCTTCTTTGGTGATGTGTCTGTCTAAATCTTTTGCTCATGTTTTAAAAATAAAGTGCTTTATCTTAAGAAATTAAAAAAAAAACTTTCTGGATCCTATAATATAGTCTTAACTTAGATTTTAATGGATATGGCTCTTGTGTTCTTTACCTGAATATAAACCCCTCATGAGAAGGAATAGTTTCTTCTACCTGGTCTTTGTCCACAATCCTTTTATAGCAGTAGGTCTAGCTCTCAGTAAATCCATATTAAATGATTCTGTTAAGTAGACTGCAAAGTAATATCAAGATCATTTTAGCTCTGGAAAAAAATCCACTAACCCCGTTTTAAAAGTTCCATACCAGAGTTGACTTTAGGGGCTAGGTTTTCTTTGGGGGTCTTGATAGATAGGAGATGCTCTTTAAATTCTGTGTAGTGTGAACCCTTTGATTATGTAGATATTCTCTTCTTTGTATTGGGTATTCCTTTAATGCTAGATCAAAATTTACACTATTAAATTTAAGAGGAAGGTATGTAGAAATGTTTTCTATAAAGGCAGCAAGGAGCCATTTTCATACTTTCACAGTCTTGCCCACGATAATTAAAGCCTTGCCCCCGCCCCCTTCTTTTTTAAAAAATTCCAGTGCAGGCATTCCCAGCTCTTCCTCCCTCTGTCCTCATTCTGTCTAATTTGGCAGTTTCCTTGTTGCACTTCGACTCCTGACTTCTCTAAACCCTAAGGAGAAATTGCCTTCAGTAGAACTTAAAACTAGAAGCAAAAGCCCATTAAGGTCTTGGGTTTACCTGAACAGATCCACTAGGGCCCTTGTGATTTTTGAGAATGGGGATGAATGGCTTTCAGAAACTTTCTGGCTAAAAGCCACGTTTCTTAACCACATGTTTCAAAATCCAAAGACATTATAAAATGTAAGGCCACTTAGGATTTCACAAATGCCCCATATCTACCAGTAGATACTATTTCATCTATCATTTATTTTATGTAGAACCTTCAGGCCAAATACGAGTCACTGCTTCCATGATGGCAGCAATCTCTAGCTGTCTAGGTTATTGATGATTATTTTCTGTGTTCTCGTTGGGACTGAGCAGGTCACAGCTACTCAAGTATCACTTGAGAGTTGAGAGTGTTCTTTTTGCTTTAATTGAGGCTGTTCCGTGAAAGGAAGCCAAACACCATTAGACAGGACATCCTGTGATTCCCTTAGTTTATGATGGCCAAGGACATTACTTTTTACTATTTTTTTAATAATATGATTGCTTGCTTCCTTTCCTGGTAACAAGGGAGCCTAAAACTGATGATGTCCATCTGGCCTTGGGAACTCTGTCTAGCAAATAACTAAACCTCCTCCCAAAATCACCTGAGGTGTAGTAGACATGGGAGAATGTCCACGCTTTTTTATGTGAACCAACAATTATTTGGTCATTGTTGGCAGTTATGTGATTGCCAGTTGTGTTGTCCTGAAATAACAATTAACTGGAAAAGAGAGGAGACAGCCAAACTGGAAGTTCTTGGAATTAAACACATCAACAAGAATTCTGGAATTGGGTGTATTGTGGTACACCTACACAGTGAAATGTAGTGTAAATATTAACACATGAAGATATGAAGAATATTCACAATATGTTAAGAGAAACAAGCTGATTAGTACAAAAGCGTGCGTGTATTGTATTGTTTTCCTAAGGCTGCCATAACAAATTACCACAAACTAGGGTGCTTCCAACTTACTCTCTCACTGTTGTGAAGGTTAGAAGTCCAAAATGAAGCAGCTGTGTGCTTCCTCTGAAGGTCTAGAGGGCAGTCATTTCTTTGCCTCTTACTGTCTAGGGGCCCCCTGAGTGTCTTAGCTTGTAGTGCCATCACTCCAGTCTTTGCCTCTGTGACATGACATCCTCCCTGTGTGTCTGTGTTTACGCATAATCTTCTTATAAGAATGCCAGTCATTGATTATGAGGGCCCTAATCCTAATCATCTTAACTAATTATGTTTACAGGGACTTTATTTCCTGATGAGATCATGTGAGGATTTGAGTGGACATGAATTCTGGGGATGCTATTCAACCCTTGTGTGTACCCGTTTTTATAAGTGTATATGTATACATTTCACACACACATACTAATATAAAAAAGTATTTAATGTTATTTTTTATATTTTCTACTTTTTCTGTAGTGAAAATGTATTGATATTTTAAACATAAAAATATTTAAAAAAATAAATAGCACTTTGATATCTACTTTAAAAATTCTTTTTTACTAACATCCTATCTTAAATCTGAGTTTTTTGTGTTATCAAACTATTAAGATATATATTCTTTTTTCATTAAGGTATTATTGATATACAATCTTATGAAGGTTTCTCATGAGCAACATTGTGGTTTCAACATTCACCCCTATTATCAAGACCCACCCCACACACCATTGCAGTCACTGTCCATCAACTTAGTAAGATGTTATAGAGTCATTACTTGTTTTCTCCGTGCTATACTGACCTAACTATATTGTGAGTGCTAATTGTAGTGCCCCTTAATCCCCTTCTCCCTCCCTCCCCACCCATCCTCCCCACCCATCCTCCCCAACCCCCTTCCCTTTGGTAACTGCTAGTTCCTTCTTGGAGTCTGTGAGTCTGCTGCTGTTTTGTTCCTTCAGTTTTTGCTTTGTTCTTATACTCCACAGATGAGTAAAATCATTTGGTACTTGTCTTTCTCCACCTGGCTTATTTCACTGAGCATAATACCCTCTAGCTCCATCCATGTTGCAAATGGTAGGATTTGTTTTCTTCTTATGGCTGAATAATATTCCATTGTGTATATGTACCACATCTTCTTTATCCATTCATCTACTGATGGACACTTAGGTTTCTTCAATAATCTTGGTTATTGTAGATAAGGCTGCAATAAACATAGGGGTGCATTATGTCTTTTTGAATCAGAGATCTTGTTTTCTTTGGGTAAATTCCTAGGAGTGGAATTCCTGGGTCAAATGGTATTTCTATTTTTAGTGTTTTGAGGAACCTCCATATTGCTTTCCACAGTGGTTGAACAAATTTACATTCTCACCAACAGTGTAGGAGGGTTCCCCTTTCTCTGCATCCTTGCCAGCATTTATTGTTCCTTGTCTTTTGGATGTTAGCCATCCTACACTATTAGAATATATTTTTTAACCCTAATTTTTAAATAAGAATTCTTTGTGGCATATATGTACATAAATAAATGTATGTAATGAGTCAGTATTTTATTGTATTATGCTTCTTATTGTGTTTTAATAGCTAAAACAGAAACAACAAAGTAAACTAGGTCTCTGAGACATTGGTTCAATCATATAGTGTTAGGTCTGTGGTTTATATCTAGGAGCAAAGAAAAAA